ATTTAGTTTAATTTGAGCAACATCAGTTAAAATACGGCCCCCTAACTATGAGAATTAAATTGTAGGGCTCCATACAAAACATTATTAAAATGCCCGGGCACACTCGGCACCCACCATGCGCACACCAATGACATGCACATAAGTATATTTCTATCCGTGGTCCGAAGGAAGTCATAGAAACGTACAATTTAAGTTAAAAGAGTAAATAATGTACAGTATTGAGTATTACCATCGTACGTCAATTTCGTGTCCAACACATAATTAATTACATACCATCACTCAAATTCAAAAAAATATTTAACAGAATAAATAAACAAACAGCAGTTCGGTTGCGTACCACTAACACCAGTGGCGTATTCTATGTTTTATTTTTTTTGAGCTGCCTTACTATTTGTTTTTTAGACCGACAACGATATTATCGTTCACGTGGTTTTTTTTCCGATCACCCGTGGGAAGCAAGACATTATAGCTATAGGTACAACAATTATAATATACCTTCACAGTGGCGTATCCATGGGGGGGGTTTGGGGGGTCAGAACCCTCCCATGAAACCTAAGATAGTAAATTAACTCTTACATGAGACACGGTTTTTTTCTTTAACATTTTTATATTTTAGAATTTTGACTTGGAAATCATATTAATAGTTTGTATAAACACTATAAACGTATTATACACACGCTGCACACACACACAAGTCATAATATTTAGATACTTTGCTACTACTTTGATAATTTTTGCTTGGGAACATATTATTTAGGTTTTCTACAACGGTTGATTCTAAATCGGTCGTCTGGTCCCGATAGTTGAGATAAAAGCGATATCATTGTCTCTATTAAATGTTTATTTTGGGTATACCTATTGCATTCGCGGCTCGCTTATCATTTAATAATACAAGCACCTTATTGTGTAAAACCATTGATTATAGAATAGATCTATTCTATAATCAATGGTAAAACTAATAGTTATTATATAGTTATAATTAATAGTTGGTCGTTGCCCGTTGGTGTTTCACTGTTTTACTTACTACTCGTTTATATTTGGCATTATTTATTTATTTATTCGTTTATATTTGACATTTGTATTCCATTACATTTATTTTATTTTAATTTGACATAATTCTAGGACGTTTAAACATTCTATGATGGTAAGATATTTTTAAAATTTAATTTTTAGTATACCTAAAGTGATTGGACTGAAAATATTCTAATATCTAATACTTATGTTTCTATATTAATTCCTAGGTCCTAAATTGTTATTATTATTATAGGCAAATTTTCTAACAAATAAGCAGACTAGAAAAATTAATTATTTTTTTTTACCTAAGTTATAAAAACTAATGTCAACCAGACTTAAAAATACCGATATCAATACAAATAGTAGTCAAAATGATTGTGATAAGATTAAATATGTATAAATTTGCTGAACCCCCCCTCCATAAAAAGCTCCTACGCCACTGTACTTTCATATACACTTTTCTACTAGAACTTTGTTTATACACAATACAAATTACATTTTATAATTTTTGATTTATACGGCTTTAAATACTACTCTAGAAAAACATTTGTTTACTTGAAAATCTTGGTTTCGGAATATTATAGTAGGTTTTTTTTTGTTGATAATTTACGTGTTGGCGTAAAGTGGTTATTTGCATTTCATATTAATTCACTAAACAAATATACAACGTACTGGAATTCGAACACCACCACCTAAATTGTACACGCTAATCTTTATATATTTTTATAGTGTAAAATCATAGCTTTCAATGTTTCGCTGTCAATCAGTCCTGCATCGGAATCCTATAGCCGAAACCCTAGGAGTAGGTACCACTACCACCAACTGATCAAACCAACATCCACACATCAACTGTTGGTGCGTAAAATTGTTCGTATTAAAATTACGAAGTTATTTCATAATATGTCCATCACACACATGGGTGCATGTTATTTTTAGATTTTAGTATTGGGATATTTTATTTATTCATTTTGCCCAAGGAATAAAACATATTATCTTTAAAACAATTACACGACCACAATTTTCTCTTACCCACTCTCCTCCGGTTCAAATAAGTGATGGACTCGGATGTGTACAGTGACTCCGAGGTTTTATCGATACTCGTAAAGCACAACATTAATCTAAGGCTATGGTAATTCATTCGTAGTCGATCGCGCCGGACCGCACGATTTTCTTATCGTACACCAATGTATGTTCAACTTTGAAACCGACATTAATTTAGTTTTGGTTATGTTTCCGGCAGTTCGTATGGGAATTTGTGCACAATTTTCATGTGAAAATTATCAACGCGACGTGGTTAAACAACATACTGATACTTTATTATCGGTGTGCGCGCGATATGCTTGAATTTGGTTTTTATTATTTTGTGGTTGCGTCCCCTTTGATACGCCAGCAATGCGTCACGTAAAACGTATAGTGCACCACCGTCGTTGAACCTACGTCTACGTAAACGTCGAGCACTGTCGACAAGACGGAACTGCACGAGACTATCTATAATGTATAAACCATACTATAGTATAGTATAGTAATTTTTTGGTGTTGAGTTAAACTATAATTATAATTAGAGAACAGATAAAATAAAAATTTTGGACCCCCCCCCATAAAAAATTCCTGGGTACGCTCCTGGTATGAGACCAAGGAACATTCGGTTTTGGATTATTTTCCGACGATTTCAATTCATGCAATAACCATATTATAATTTAAGAACGGATCGTATACAATATTTCTAAGAAAAACCTTAAATGTTTCGAAGATCTGTGCCCGGATGCATGAATTTACATTCTGAATACGAATACTAGTTCAGGGGTTGAAAATAGTTGGCACGTATTTGTGATCAGCAAGCTTGCACGTTTGAAGCAAACCCCTGGGTTCTATTCCCGTACAATTTTTTACACGCACACAGAAATCGGCTGTAATACATCAGCAATAGTGTTTGGCAGCGAATTCGCTACAGCCTGATGAGTTAGGTGATAACGTAGATCGGCTATGTACGACCGGTATTAACGTGTCGTGTATTGAACTTTAATTTTGTTATAATTAACTCCATTAAGTGTTTAATATCAGTTAGTAACCAGATTCAAGCACTACGTTAGTAAGTTAAGGCTATTAAAATACGAGCGGTTATGGTGATTTAATTTGGAGGGTACGTGAAACAAAAGTGACAGAATCGCAAATTACAAACAATCAACAGAACCTCACGTTCACATCACAGAAATATTAATAAGACAATTTTCAGAACAAATTGATAATTTCGTTTTTATTTTTTTCGAAACATTCGTAGGAGATACTGCTGAAAAATACAGTCACAGTTCATCGGTTTTGAAGATCATCGCGTGTCGACTTGTGAAAATGGCCATTATATTTTGTAAGAACATCAACATCGATAGTGACAAGAATCGATACAGCAGGTCACCTAATTTAATTTTGTTGTGATACTATTCTTGTAACATACTTCATGGGTATGGATTATTTCACTGGTTGTTTCGCGATCGAAAAATTGATTAATTTGCTATCAAACCGTTTTAACCGTGTTCGGTATAAATAATAATACTAATTAGTAATTAAATGCATGTACAATGCCGTCGTCGTGAAGCAAAAGTAATAGCGTTTGCTTGTCTTTTGGTGATATATATCACAAATCTGTATTACGTATGTTTCTCTTCTCACGAGTAAGATGCACTATGCATAATTGCGTACAAGTAATGTTTTTTTTCTTGTAATAATTTTTTCAAACAGTTCTCCGATCGCAGAACGGTTGTAGAAAAATTATCAATAATCTAGTTTTTAATGGTATTAAATTATATTAATAATATATTATACTTCGACCACTAACAAATCTTTTATAGACATATGTTTGAGAAGCCCTGTGGTTCTTAATGAAAACAACATTCCGTATGTTTCTCATTAATTGGTGTGATTTTTCATTATTAGGTAGGTATGTTTCAATTACTTTATTTTTTGCGCGACTACTTGTGGTTATAACTTGATCCATGTGTTTTAATAAGCTAAGACTTAATAGTTTTCAGTAGTTTAAATTTTTATTAAAGTTGTTATGTATTTAAATGTAATATACCTAGTGAATATCGGCCGGATTAAAAGCAAATTAAAACAAACCATTAAATTCTATCATTTTTAGGTGACGATTCCCAATTAAAAATAATTACACCTAAATATGTTTCAAATACAATTTTTTATTTGAGAATCACCGAAATTATTTGAATTGCTTCACCCTTAATGTGTTCTTGGTTCGTTTAAATGAATCCAACCATTAATATTGCTATTAAATTAATTTTTCAGCATTCAATAAACACTTTGATTGTTTAATGAATTCAATGACATATCAATATCATAATAAATTTAAATAATTTGTCTGTTAAAATGGCCGGTTAATTTCTATAGAAAATAGTCATTAGCGTTAAATTAGTTATTTCCTGCAATGGTGTGTTCAATATTTTTCTGGTTCACCAAGCGAATCGTCTGATTTATATATTTACTTAAAATTCTTTATAACCATTTTTTGTTTTTTTAATTATTATACTATTTTTTCATTACAATCTTAAATTTATCGTATATTTATATAATACCTATTCATAATCAATGTGTATTAATATTTATCCATCTATAAAGAAAAACGGTTTACCTGTGTTTATTTTTGTTTTACTTCTGATGGACATTATTCTGTTATTTTACCAATTTTTTCGAAACTGGTAACAAAAACGTAATTATAATAATATTAAGTTTATGTTTCGTTTAAATATTGCGTACATAAATATTGATGTATGTAAAAATATTAGTTATATTAATGTTCATTAGTTAAATCATTAAATAAAATATTTATTTTTTACGTGGACAAATTAAATATTTTATTTCAGAAAAATTAAACCAATAACATTAATAGCAAGGCATGTTTATAAAATGTCGTTTTTTATTATGGAACTCATAAATTAAAAAAAAAAGTTCATAATAATGTACAAATATTAGTGATCAGCAATATAAAACTCTTGCGTCTATTTATTATTTTTTTATAAAATGTTATGTTATACGTAAAAAAAAACCATAGGTACCGAAATATATTTTTCTAAGAATCTAAAATATATTCGACTGTACGAGAATAATCTAAGTTATTAATTTGTCTAACATTGGTCGTCGATCAAACTCTTTGTGTTGCACCTCTTGGTGATTTCATCCCTTTTTTCTTACTTTTAGAGTCGACCATTATTTGCGCTTGTTTTTTGATCAAATATCTATTTGGAACGGGTTTTTCTTCTTCGTCCTTATTCGCCGATTCCACAACACTGTCTTCCAATGACCACAGCGTCGCCACATCCTTAAACAATACACGCAGTTTAATTTATGCATAGGTAAATAAAACTACTAAAAGTAGCTATACGAATAATTAATAGGTACATTGTTTTTAACCTTTTCATTTGAATTACGTTGGTTTTTATCAACTACTCCGGCATTTCTAATCACTTTTTCGTATTTGGTTTGTAAAAGGCATATCAACCAGTCAGCTTTTTCGATACTTGGACATTTGTCCGGCACCGGAGCGTTATCCGCTTCTTTTAATTTAATGCACAAATCATATAGTCTGGATAAGGTCAAGTTAATCTGACCGGACAATTCAGTCCTATCTTTTTGTAAACGTGTAAGTTTTTCCGTATCCTCGATTATTTTTTGTTTGAGAGTTTCAATTTCTTCGTCGTTTCTATACAATCGTAAAATAATAATAAAAAATAAATAAAAATATTTAACATGCGGTACATTATTGCGTTATAACTCATAACTCGATAGAAATAGTAGAAAATCGGTAGCACATGATAATATTGTTATTGTATGTTAGGAAATTATAACTTTTTTTTAAAAGGATTTTCAGATACTTCAGCAAGATTTTGATATTTTAAAATATGTTTTTGTTCATTTACATTATGACTTTAAAACTTATTTAGAAAGAATTATTATTTGTACAAAATAAGTATATTCTTAACTGAGTGAATTATTGTTGTATTATTATTTATATATTTATTATTATACACTCTTGATTTTTTTATTTGATTAATATTCACATAAATGTTTAACTGATTAATATGTTGAACATTTAAATTTTATTTCTAGTCAGTATGCCTATACGTATATATATATATGTATTAATATAATACTATACATACTATTTACAGAACAGTAAGATTTATTTTTAAATGAATAATTATTTTATAGTGGATTTCCTGTAACTCAAACCTCGTTAATTCGAAATTCTCGATACTTTGAAAGAAAATAAATTGCTATAGAAGTTGTTTAAGTAACACTTAATTTTACTTAATAAATAATAAATTGGAAAATTCGATTTTTTTTTTTACTTTTTCAAAAAACTCAAGTATATACGAGTATATATATATAACTTAACGTACTGTTCTTTGTCTTGAGCGTCAGAAAACCGACATTGTTCAAATTCTTCATTAAGCTGTTGGCATTTGAGTTGTAGTTCTTTTTTTTGTGTTTCTGTAGTGGTTTTTAAAGTAGTAAGTCTATCTTTAGTCTCTTTCTGCGATACAAACTTTTTTCGTACGTCTTCACTGTCAATGGAGCCTGAATAGAAGACGTGAAAATATTGTTAAAATAAAAATATTCATGAAAGAAAAAATTGGTATTTATTAGATGAATGATATTGGTTATGTTTAAATATGAGAACAATAGTCGTAATAGAATCGAATTATGATTTTAAATAGAGTCATTGTATTGCTATATTTTATGTTATAAATTTTATTTAAAGTCAAAATATATTTACTTATAGTTTTGAGTTAGTTAGCGCTAGTATGCCAAGATTTTTAAAAAATAAATAACTTAGTTTAATAATAATATTAATAAACCATTATTTTGTTATAAAGTGTCTAGTTGTATCAGTGAACATGAAAAAATAACTTCATAAGAATATAAAGTTTTAAAGATGTAAAAAAATTACCTAGAAATTATCAATTTTACTCGTAACACAAAAATGATTTTACTCACTACAGTTAACAATAATTAATATATTTTTTAAAAACGAATGTTAATAAGATTTTGAAAAATTTAATGAAAAATAGTCTTTTTTCAATAACATTTGTTTTAATTTTTCAATAAATTAATAGATTTACAATATTTTTTTTTCTTTTTAGTTTCATTCGTTTCAATGACATAATTAAGGGGTGTTGAGAGGATATATTCCAACTTAGAGCTTAATGTTTCTAATGTTTTGGAATATTCTATATTTTATTATTGCATTGTTTGTGTCATCGTGTACCTATATGTTACTGGTAATGTTATTACATTTACATGTACAAATGTTTAACATTTGGTTAATGTCGGCATTATCCGTGCATGTTGGTTAATGTGTAATTTTTCGTATATGATCTTGAAATACAATGCTATCCGGATAATGTAAAAAAAAAGTTTTTATTAACATTCAGTTCAGTGTGACAATTATAAATCTTATATAATGTCTTAATTGGACGATGTTTTTATTATAACTTTATATGTTAACAAATACAATACAAAATGCCGATGTGTAGTTAGTCGGTTTTCACATGTGGTATTCATGAGTGTAATATTTTATTTTAATTTTTTTTTATTTAATTAAAATGGAAAAAAAAACATAATTTTATCATTTATTTGAAAAATTGTGTTCTGATAAATTAGAAGATAATTTATTTTAAGAAATTAAATTAAAAATATAATAAATTAATTGAAAGGTAGCAAAAAATTTTCTCGTTAGATGTGATATGTTTATTTATTAAAAATAATCTATAATAACTATTTACTAATTGTGTCTTCCTCTATTTGATTTTCTTTTAATTGATATTTTGATATTTCAAAAATTACACATAAGTCAACATGCATGGATAATGTCGAAATTAGCCAAACGTTAACATTACCTATAACATACATTTTTTAAAAAAAAATGTAGGAATTTAAATTTAATTTTATAAAATTCTGAAAATATCTATGTATATCATTTATAATAGTTATAAATATAATTTAATATTAATATAGCTATTATATAAATAATTATGTTCTTTATAAAGCATAAGGTTTTTTTCGAATTTAAATTAATAGATTTTACTACAAAATTTTAATTCCTTCTCTTTTAAAAAGCAAAATCTTAATTATGCCATTACTTCTTATAGTTACAAATACTATCAGTTTTTCATATAATAGTTTTTATATATTGAAAAGTACTCGTATATTGTACTTTAAAAATAAATGTATTCGAATTTCTTTATATTTAATTTTTCTTTCATTTTCAAGTATCGCCTAAAAATAAAATAAACAAAAAAATTGTAAATTTACAATTTTTAAGACACATTTTATATTTAGATTAATCTCAATTCAAAATGATTTTCGAATGGGATGATCGCTGCATCCTATTTATTCCATCCAAATGACCAATTCCATCCAAATGACCAAGTGTAAAATAATAATACATTAATTCGTCATTATGGAATGGATTAAAGCGTAATCGACATAAGAATCATCCTTCGTTAAACACTGAGTGTCTATTTTATGTCAGTGTCTTACTGACGTAAATCATTATACCAGTGACTTGTTTTAGTTTGAAGTATGGTGTGTCAGAAATTTCTTGACTGTCCGATGATCCGTTATCTCCCAATCGCTGTTCTTCCGAAGAACTCGGAATCGAATCTTGATGTATAGGTCGCTGTCCCGGAGGAAATATTTTTCGTTCCAATTTTTCCAGTTCCGTTTTTCTTTCTTCCACTTGAGCTCTATACAAAATATAATTTCAAACAATATATTTTATTCTTTTAATTACAATAATTATACATTATCGTCAATGCGATTTTTATACTCGCCTGATTTGTTCTACTTGTCTTATACGAAATTTGGCTATATTAGCCGCATTCGTTTTTTTTTTCTGTAAAACTAATCGAGTTTTGTCTCTCGACTTAATTGCTTCTTCGTTGATTTTCTTTGCGAAATTAAATTACAAATGTGTAAATCAACATGTATGTATACACGGACTAAATCATTAATGATAAATTATACTTCTAGCCGTTGGATTTCACATTGCTGTATCTTAATTGTTTTTTCTAATTTATTCAGCGTAGACTCGAATACTACCGAATCTTCCAACAGCCGATTCCTGATTGATCTATATTTGCGCGTCACATGCGATGCTTCCATTCGGCTCATCTCTATTTGATGCGATCGATTTTCAAGCACCGAAAGCGTCTGTATAATTACAGGGCATGTGTTTGTTACCGTTAAATACAATATTGAAATTTAGATGTAAAAAATAAAAATAATAATAAATATTATTATATACTTTTGCCGTATTCAAATCCTTGTCTAGAGTAGATGTGATCATTGATCGCATGTCACTCCATTTGCTGAACAAGTCGTTCAACTTGATCCTTTTCTATAAAACCGCAGTCAAGAAACTCATAAAATTAATCTAGGGCACAACTAGTTATTATATTACTTGCACTATTACCTGTTTGATATCATGTCTAATTAGATCTGTTTTTTTCTTCGTGTCGATCAGTTTCATATCCAAAATATCTAACGCTTCGCGATATTTTTTCCTCTTTAAAACCGCGATTTTTTCATCCTTTTTCGTATCTGGTAACGCGTCTACGCACTATAATAATATGTTACTGGATTTTTATTTATTTATTTTTTCTCCGTCTTATATAATCATATCAAAATATTTTTATCGGCTTACCGTCGATTCTTGTCTTTTTATTCGATACAATTCTCTGATATCGTTTTTTAATACTTGAATCTTTTCGTTGTTTTTCTTCCTTTCTTCTTCACATTCTTCATATTGCGCTTTTTTTTGACCCTCTAAGGTACATGAATAAAAATAATAATATTAATTCATGCGTGTGAAATACAGTTTTAAATTTACTATATCAATTGGATAACAGAATTTAACCTTAGTTGTAAAATAAATCAATTATTCATTTTGAATTAAATTTGGTTTAAATAAAAAATAACAAGGAAAACATTGAAATTATTATTTATAGTTGATGAAATAATGTATTATATCAAATAAGTATTATGTGTAGTTCTATACTATCAATAAAACACTTGAGTTTGAAATCAAGAAATGTTCTGTTGGTGGTTAACCACATATAACTAGTGCTGTTCGATTTGTATTATAACACTATTTTATGGCCAATAGTTTCTGTGAGCTATGTGAAAAAAATAATTGTACAAGTATAAATAAAACATAAATATATTTTTGTTAAATTTTGGTAACAAAACTGTTACTTTAATTTAGAATAAACTAAACAAATAAAAATAATAAGTCATTAGTAAATTGTGAATCAATATTCACCGAAACTTATATTACTATAACATTTTATTTTATTCTAATTTTGTAAATAGTATACAAGAATTCATAATAATAAATAATTATATGCATTTTGAAAATTATATTATATTATTTATTTATTATGATCTGTATATTACAGTGTAATTAGTGTATGTTATAATTTTCGTTTATATATACTATTAGTGATTTTTAAAATTGTTTTTGCTAATATTTAAGAAATACTACATTACATATATTATAATATTATATATTTACGAGTACTTACCAGAAAGTTGAATTTTTTTTTTAAACTCATTTATATTTTTATTTAGCTCTTCAGTAGGTACTGAAGATTTATAACGTTTACTCGGCATAATTATAATGTTTTTTTATTTGCTAATTTTTTTTTTTTAACTTTTATTATAATAATAACTATACAACTATGGTCTATTATTCACTGGTGACTGTGCGATCTAAACGCTTAAATAAAATTATTTTTTATTCGCACTCGTTTGCAATTGGTGTATAGCAAGTAGTTTGATCAATAACAGAACCGTGAAGAATTACCCTTTCCTGATATTTTCATTGCCTACAGTATTTTTTCAGGGTAAGTACAGTTCCACTAATTTATATTGTTCGATATTTTATTTTTGGCACGAAATGATTTGTCTCTTAAATTACCATCGATTTATTAATCAAATAAATAGGTAAAGAAATATATACAATACATTAATATAAGTAGGTATAGTTTATAATAGGGAAGAATTGCAATTCCTAAAAATAATACAATAGAGTTGATGTATTATTGAAATACAAGGATGATGTGTATTGAATATTATACGTGATGTGGTCAATTATATATATGTATCAAAAACATAACGCCCATTACTTAACAAACGTGATTATATATTTATAAAATAGCCATGTTATAGTGAATGTTTAACTCCAGATGGTGGCTATTCGTTTACTGCAGTTTTTTTTCGTTAATTTATTATTATCATTGTACTATATTTTATAAAAATCGTATTTACATAAATATATTAAAAAAAAAAAAAAAAACAGATAGAGATATTATAAAACTGGTTTTAAATTAAGTATAATTTAAAAATCAGTACGCTAGAGAAATATTTTAAAGTAGTAAATACATTTGCATATACGAGAAATGTTAAAATGTTATACAATCCGAAAAGTAAATGGTACTCAAATGAGAACTTAATTAGTCCGTTCTTTTACTTAGTCCTTAACTGGTTTATATTTCACGTATAGTGATATAAATTATTATAATTAAAACACATTAGTGTTAAAATAATTAAAACCTAGTGTTACAAAATAATTTTTATTTTCATAAATTGTGCTGAGACCTATGAATCATGAAATCATTGATAGGTTTTGAATATTATAGTGCACTCAGTCGCTATAGAACAGATTGTAATGCAATGTGAACCATATGGCAATGATATGGAATATAATACCAAAATGTAATGGTTATACCGTTGCAGTGTATTGCCATGAACAGTAGCGCATGTAGAGCCATTGGGCATTCTTATTTGTTGCTTGATGTTCTAGGTTCATAAATATTAATACGCAACACGTCTTTCAACTAACTGATCGAGGCGCTGCCGGGGACAAGTACAATAATGAATTTTTGTTTAGAACACAAGAGAAAAAAAGAAGAGGTTCAGATAAATCGACAATGCATACCTATCTGAACACTGTGTATTGAAACGAAAAACGAGTTCGTTATTCCTTGAAACAAAAACGTCACAGGTAAATAAATATATATTTAGGACCTTAACGGTTAGCATACAACTTAAAAAATTACATTCTCCCATAGTACATAATATTATATGAATACAAAATGATTTAATTAATATCTATTGTATTATGGTCTGAAGTAATGTTTTTTTGTTATATTAGAAACACGTGTAGATACAACTTTGTCTCCACGCGCACGTGTACATCATGTGTAAGGACGAGTAGATGTAATTTTTACTCTCTAAATGGAATAACTCATCATAGTAATACTAATTTGGTGATTTTACTCGAAGACACGTCTATGTATGTGAATAATAATAATAACATCTGCTAAAAAAAATATTAAACAACTCGTGAAATCGTTTTAATATTAAATTCGAAATGAATAATTAAAACATTTTTTTTTCTAATAAATATTAATTGGTATACATGTTTCAGTTATAAAACCATACAATTTTAATTGTTGGTAAAAATAATATAGTACATCTTCAATTTATGTATATATTATTTTTATGTTTTTAATTGATTCTCTAAAAGCTCGGCTAAGAAAGATAGAAGAGTTCATTATATATTATGATAAAAGTGAATAGTCATCACTGATTGACCATACCAAAAAGATAAATAGAAGCAATACCATTAAAATTAATATTTTATTAATAATAAGAAAGCAAGAACGAAAAATGTATACAAAATTAAATTGAAACAAAATTTGTTGTTATATAATGGTTATTTTATATTAAATAGTTGTAAAATAAAAAAGATGAGTGTTAAGTTGTTTAAATGATTTAAACTTTTTATATAATTAAGTTTCAATAATTTTACAAAATTTAAAACCCATATCAAGTGGGTTATATTGACCAAATGTAGTATACAAGTAGTTAGTAGTATGAATTGAAAAGAGATTGATTATTATTTAATATATAACCGAATCAATTTAATCTATAACAATTATAAATTAGTAATAATATTATGGCATAATACATATTATATATTATTATATTTATATTTTATTAATTTGAATTACTTAGTATCATTGTTAATTATATTAGTATATTATAAATTGGACATTGTCCGTTTACATTTTTAAAAACAAAATATTGAAATGTTTAAAAAAAAAATTATGTAAATTGTTTAAATATTTGGATAAAACTAATACGTATATATTAGAGCAGCGGTCGGAAACTGGTTAATCTTTAAAAGTTGACACTGGATCGTTAATACGATAAATCTTACTTTATTAATAATTTTTATAATATTAAAATTTAAAATGATTTTTTTTTTTTTATTTATGAAACTCTGATTTTAGTTTTTTTTATAATTAATTTATTAATAATTATTTTAAAACAATACAGTAATAAATAAAATCCACATAATAAATAATGTTATAAAATACATTTTTTTTCGACACTTCTTTTATTTTTTATTTAATCTTTCGGATTCCAAAAAAACATTACTTGCCAATCCATGGTATGTACTCGTATAACATAGTACTAAAATTGCTATTAATTATAAATTATATATTTATATATATATAATTATATTAATTAGAATATAATATTCATAATTGTAATAATACCAACTCAACGAGATACATATATGTTTTAGGAAAAATGATAGGTTCCAAGTACAGAAAATATACGTGATTACGATAATTGAATTCAAAAACAACATAAGTCATGAAATTGAAACAGACGTAAATAATTTAATAATCTCAGAAATTTTAATTATTTTCTTTCCCCCTCCTATTTACAGATTTATTTACAGGCAGGGACGTCTGCAGGGGGCCAGCGAGGGCCATTGCTACCCTGAAATTTTTTTATGTCAATTACAATATGAGAAGTTTCTTTTTATATAAAGCCGTTTCCAATTCGTATCGTGTATATTTGATCAAATAAAGTTGTTTTATGCTTATACATATTTGAACAAATAGTGACATTTTATACCTATTTACTTATAGAAGTTTTAATTTTTATAATATTATTAATGATTGTTATGAAAGATCTGTGTTAAATCTTCCCATGGCTAATATTTGCTTACAACTTTTTTTGTTCCATCTCCTCCCTCCAAACACTACATTTCGACGGACGTCCCTGTTTTCAGTGTCTGTTCAGTAGTTATTTAGTTATATGATTTTAAATGGTCTACATTAGACTGTAAATCATTGAATTAATATAAAACTTTTTCGATTTCGTTTTGTAAAAAAAAGACAATGATATTTGTGTTGTATTTGTAATAACCGATCCAATAGTAATCAAGACCTCGGGAAAAACACGAATCATTTACTAATGTGTACAGTCAATAATTGCAGATGATAGGAAACCCTTAATACGGCGGACATCGTCGACCTCGTTGATTGAAGCAATCGAAAACTTCAGGTCCGCACTGCTACGCCGTTATTTGGCATACCAATAATATGGCACACATAATAGCGTGTAACGCATTATATTGTATCAACTCTCCGGCGTACACGGGTACCTACACCATTCGCACGTATGTAATTGCCGTAATTCGATATGAGTCATGTAGCCGATAATCGGAACGATCCGAACGAGACCGGTTTTAACGATACACGTATAATAATGCGAACGAAATTAAATAAAATCTTGTGCCGTACGTACCTCTGATGTCCAATGCTCGACCGGCGAAATTATAATTTAATTATTGAGCAAACAATTATTGTTATTATATGATGCGTCGTGATACGCGGAAAATTAGCTTTTAGAACGGTAATAATTAATGTCCACGGTTTTAACGGAATAAGAACCGTACGGTACGCGACAAATAAAAGATTTGTCAAGTTAATCGTGAAATGAACGCAATAAAAACGTAATATGGAATGGTACGCGTGTGTATTTGTAAGCAAACGGGAATGGTAACAATTATGTATAAAATTAAAATCACTGCGCATATTGTAATGATGATAATGTTAAATGTTATTTATCGTGGTCATTTCATATTTTTCTTCGCCGTTCTATTTCGTAAAGTGTTCTCTAATCATCACCATAAGTTGTATAATATGTAAATACTTTGATCTTCATTATTTTCTAAACAGAAATACACTTTATGGCCGTAGGTGTTTTTAAAACGATAATGTAGTATAGGTGTGTGAGTGTGAGTGTATTTATATGTATATTTTTTTTAAATAAAATTATGTATAGCCCTGCCGTAAATGTACCCGTACGACGAATGGTACGATATGAAAATGTGTGTTATGACGTTCAATAACAATTCAACAATATATAATATTTCGAATTCGATTTATATAGTATATTTATTTCGTCAAACGACTGCAATAAAATGAAATCCAATTTGTTCACGACTTATGCACAGTTTACCCCTGTAATTTATTGTGTTATGGAGAAACAAACTGAATATTTGAGAAGTTCAGGAAACTGAAGATTACGTTTTTTCTGTATCCGATGTTTCTGATATTGAAATTGATTTTGATTTCTGATATGTCGAGGAAAATGATCTCCCTTTTGTATAGTGTATATTATAATGTATGTAGTATATATAACATACCCAAATGCGTGAATAAACTAATTATTCAGCAATTGAAAACAATTTATATTACGTCGGTCAAAAATACCAACAACATCTCTCATTAAAGATTTCAACACAACACCTCTCCAGGGTTAATTTGCTTGCTTTGAGTTATCGTTCGAAGACTCGGCGGATACACTATTAACATGGGGATGAGTTCAATGTGCTTTTCAAAGTCGAATCAAATAA